GCTTAACAGAAGAAACGTGTTGAAATCGATCATAAAAGAAAATGACATGTTAATTATTAATTAATCATAGCTCATGAACGATTGAAATTCAATATTTCAAATATATATATATATATATATATATATATATATATATATATATATATATATATATATATATTCAGGATAATTCTCCAACTTATTCAAGGTGATCTCCCCCTGCTCTAAGCTTCTAAATTTTTTTCCTGGAGTAACAACGTACCTTAGAGTTTTCACGTACGATTTCATTTTCAAGTCTTTTTTTCTCACTGCTCTTTGGACTGTCATAGCTGAAACTCATCTCTCGCGTGTCAAACGTCTTATGGATTAAGTTGGATCTTTTCTAATTGGTCCCTTTAGCTCAAAGTTAGAATGATGATCCTTGTTGCTGTTGTGACTTCCTGATGCAGTTTTCCTCTCTACTCGTCTATCTTTTTTTAAACTTATTTCCCGAGCTCTTGATCGTTCTTGAATGGACTCTATAGATGTAAGCCAAAGTATTAATGTTGGTGCTATTACTGAAGGCCTGAATGATCTTTTTTCGCTCACCGTTCCTTATTTGGGAAGACAGTAGGTTTGACACAAAAAGATTTTAACCTGTTCTCTTTTTAGCTGAATAACTCAAAGGTTTTTTTCAGTGATTCTTACGAAAAATGGCGTCAAGATGGCTAAACGTCTCGTCTGAAAACCTGGAAAAAAGAAACCCAATTAGTTCATTGTTTTTTTTTTTTTAGATATTAAACATTTTGTTGATGGATAATTATGGTGTTAGACGATTTGGACAGTTTTGCTGTTATAGCCGTTAGATATTTTTTATTTAAATACTTTCATGGTAATTGTTCTCGCTAGTATCGAGACTATATGCATACTAGTTTGGGCGTCAAGATCTCATCATTTTACAGTTGAAATGGCTAGATGTAATTCTAAGTTCTATATTAAAAGTTTCCTGTCTCTTCTGATTTCTTGCATTCCAGTCAAGTTACGGATTTAAAAATTTAAATTCAGTATCAATCAGGATATTTACTTGGCCCCCCACTGAGTCAGGTTGTGACACAAGGTCAGTTTTTAACGTGGGGACCCGAATGTTTTCACTCGGGCCGCTGCTCCAAACTGGTCTTAGATGGTCATAGCCTGTCCAAGCTGGTCAGAGCTGGTTTAAGCTATTCATAGCTGGTCTTAGCTGGTCATAGCTTGTCCAAGCTGGTCAGAGCTGGTCTAAGCTAGTCATAGCTGGTCTTGGCTTGTCTAAGCTGGTCCAGGCCAGAGCCGGTCCAAGCTAGTCCTAGCCGTAATACTATCCGCCCAGGGACGAGCCCCGTGCCAGGTAGGTATTTGACTAATCATCCTTAAAAGGCATCCTTAAAGGATGATCAGTCAGATTCAATGTCAATCAGTATCTTATGTCTTCTTAATTTCTGTTCCTCTATTGTTCTCGCTCCTTAATAATTAAAAACAATATCTGTCCAACTCAATCTCATACGTATTAAAGTCTTTGTTGCTTTGCTTGGTGTGAAAAGATTAATATAAGTGGACATTGACGTCAGCACCTAGTGGCGACAGTGTTTCATGCTTAAACGCAATCTTTAGGCCATGTGCGTTGTGTTTTGGCTCGGCTATTTATATATGCTGGCCATTGATGCATGATGGGAAAATCTATTGTTTTAACGGTTAATTGGTGGGCGGTATCAGTCATGTTTCATATTATTCTAGGCCCTATTGAATGGAAATAATTGTGAATCCGAATGCAGTTTTGTGGCTATTTTATAGTGTTGTGTGTTAACTTTATTATTGATTGCTTTGTTATTGATTGTTATAATTACGGTTACTTGTGTTTATGTGTCCATTCGTAGTTTGTTAATTTTTTATTATTTATTTAATTAGTTATGTATTAATATCGATGAATTTGCTTTATTTATTCTTATTCATTTATTTTTTATTTTATTTTATGATATTTTATTTTTTATTTTTTTAGTCTTCAGTTTTATTCATTTTTAGTTTTCGATTTTTAAGTAACGTAGTAAAAATTTGTTTTTGCGTTTGCACTGTGCTATTCTCGTATTTAAAATCTGTATAGGATGTTTCGGGCACGTAGTTTCTTTGTCCTCCAGGTTATATATATATATATATATATATATATATATATATATATATATATATATATATATTTTATTTAAAAAAATTATATCCGCTCTACTTTGTATTGAGCACTCTTTTAAGAATAGTAATTGTTGAATTCAAAACCTGCGTAGGGTCATTTAGGAAACTTGTGGCACTTAGTGCACCAGGTCTCTGTATTCGTCGCTTCAAAATCGTCGAAGCCTTCACCACTATAATCAAATCTCATGTCCGTTGTCGGGCTGTCGGTTTCCTGAAATTGATCTGCTTGACCCTCATACGTCGAATTCGACGGGAGAGTCGACTATATATATATATATATATATATATATATATATATATATATATATATATATATATATATGTGTGTGTGTGTGTGTGTGTGTGTGTGTGTGTGTGTGTGTGTATTTAGGCAGCATATCTTCATTCAAACATGTTTCATTAAATATAGACATATTGTCTCTACCTATTTTTATACTGATCCTTCCCAGTTGTTTAATCAGTTTCTTGATGTTAAGATAAAATTAATCAAAGTAGTTTTGTTAGCCCACGTACTTTCGATTTTTTCCAACATCATAATCAGGGGTAAATTACAAAGACAAACTTATTGTAACTGGGATAAAATCTGCATTCGCTTGTGATGGTGATGTTTAAAAAAATATATGCGAACGCGCTCTGTAATAATTTTAAATTTATCCAGTGTAGTTATGGAATTTTTTGTAAAACAAGCATTTCAATATAAGGAAATTGGTAGAAATGTAAAATAGAGTCAATTGTTAAATGCACTTTAATATATTGTTGCTACATTCGTAATAAATTTTGTTGAGTGTTGGTTGCTTGATTTTGATATAGAGGGCATCGAGAATTTGCAATTTTTGCTTATTATTATCGTGGTGAGTATATTGGCGTTGTCAATAAGTAGTTTTCTGTATTGTGAAAGTGGGTAGGAATGTGGTTTTTGATGTTGGGCAATAGAACTTGTACCCGACAAATGAAATGTAAGACGTCTTCATAATACTGTGGTCGTCAAGCGAGTATATAATACTAAGCAAATAGAACATATGCTGCTTCAACTAAACTCAAACATATTAATCTCCAATATCGTAATCAAATGCATACTAATTATAAACAAGATGAAAATATACTAAAAAAAATTAGTAAATGCTAATACATCTACAACAGATACTAGCGAAAAATATACTACACTAAATCTAGTATATCCAACTCACTTATTCGCACTGATTCTTCTCCCCCGCTCCGTTAGCGATTAGCAAAAAACCAACCTAGTTTACAAATTCAAATGCCCTTTGGGAGATTGTATCTCCAACGGATTAAATAATATTTATGTTGGACACGCCACAAACTCACTGTCACGACGATTGACTCTACATTTGCATGATAACTCTAACATTTTTATGCATTTAAAACAACATGCCTGGCTGCATACACAATTCTGGAAAATCTTCATTGAAAACACAACTATACTTAAACATTCAATAAACAAAAACTAAAAATTCTTGAAGCTATATACATAAAACAGTTGAAACCTAACCTGAACAAAATAAATTATGAAATCTCCACAAATATTTTTAAATGCCTATAATTGATAGCAGAAGACATTGGTTTATACTAACGGCTTCCCATACTTAATACTTCTCGTTTTCACTCTCGCGTGGTCATGTTTGATTTCATGAGCTGCAGTGCGATTTTCGCTTCCAGCGTCTTGCATGCACGAGTTTGTTGTTGCTTGGAAATCTTCCATGAAAACAAAAACAGACTATCATTATTGTTTTGTCCGTGTATTAGTTAAAATATTGTAATGTAATTGTCATCTTTGATAATGGTTTATGTAAGCCGAAAGCTTAGACAGGATTAAAAAAATATGTATCAATGTGGTGATTTTCTTTCACTTTTTAATGTTAACGTTATTAAACTTATCAGACGATTTGAAAATAATTTACACAAAATAAATAGACAAAACCTGTCTATATTATTTAATGAAATATGTATCAATGAAAAAATTCCTGCCTAAATACACAATCTATCTATCTATCTATCTATCTATCTATCTATATATGTGTGTAGATATATATATATATATATATATATATATATATATATATATATATATATTTTAACAATTCCTAATGATACAGCAAATTGGCAAATCTGTCACAGAAAAAAATCTCCGCATCTTTATTGATCAAAACGGCGCAGCGTCCTTGCTTTGAAATTACTTAAAATTATAATTATATTCTTTGCGCATGCACATTCTGAATGACAATGTTTTACCCCATATTCATTACACTCAATGCAAATTAATTAGTGTAATGTTTATTTCACATAGATATTTCCTCTCTTTCTAATTGTGTCTCATTTTTTGCCTGCTGCTTAAACGTAACATGACTTTTACTATCAGTTCGTTGTGTGTCAATTTGCTCATTGTTTACCGGTTCCTTGATTCTTTTAATATTGGTACCATAAAAGCTGTAATGTATCACTTATACAATGTCACGTATTAACAGTTAGGCTGCGCCCACAATACATTTTTGGGCATTGTCAAATATTATTATTAATAATCATTTATGATAGTAGCTGAGGAAGAGCTTCTTAAAATTATTTAAAGTCTCTATAACCAGAACGTATATTTACTTGTCTTTTTATTTAAAGTGATAATATGATCGAAATGTCAGAATAATAGCTAGGAAAGAAAATAATAATCTACTTACGCAAGTTTTCCTCCGGCTCATCTCTGCCATGTTTGTTAGAGTTCTACTCCATTTGTTGTTAGTAGTCTGCCAGCGTTTCAATGTGTTAAAACAGATTTCAGTACAAACGATGAATTCCCAAGTGCAGATCGAAATTCAATGAAATACAAGCGCCTGCTGCCGGTTGCCGACGGAAGCCGGCGTCTGCGTCGATTTGTGACGGGTGAATGGAATATCACGGTGACTACATGTAGGCCAGGGATCACATCGATTGGCACTTTCATGCGACTCTCTCTCGGGTAACATGATGCCTGCCTTGTCACCCGGTGCTTAACTTGGTACGCAGACATTGTCGACCCAGATTTCAATTGACTGTGCTCATAAGTTGTTCAATATCTGTGCTTCTTCTTTATGCGCCGTGTCCTCTCAAGACATATACGATCATGGTTCTCCACAACTACCAGTTCCTTGTAGCTCATAATTTTTTAAAAATTTTGCTTCTTCGCTTAGTTTAAATTTAAAGTAGGTTGATCAGAGTAAAGCCCACAAACCTTATAACACCTTTTTCTTTTTTTTTTTTTTTGGCTCTACTCCGTATTGAGCCCGCTTTTAAATTAAATGTTACAAACGTTGGAAGTGTAGTCTATTCGTTCTCATCGTATCTGCACACCCACCGGCCTACACACACACACACACACACACACACACACACACACACACACATATATATGTATATATAGTTGAAGATCAAATATAGATCAGATATGGATATGAATCCACCAAAATGATAAAATAAAATAAAGAACAAATAGGAAACGAATCTCAATCTAACAAATCTTGGTATTCTATAATCTTGGTTTGCTTCTTTTACTCAACTACGTGTCACGTGACGTAACGCAATAGATAAAATATAAATATGTGTGAGGAACATTTTGTTCAAGAACCGTTGTCTTCCATTCCTACAGACACAAATGGTCTTCTAACGTAATTCTATACTTAGAGTGGCCTCCGGACCTTGTAAATTGTGAACTTTAATGTAAAATATCTATCTATCTATCTATCTATCTATCTATCTATCTATCTATCTATCTATCACAGGCACAGGGATGTAGGAAAACCTGGGTGAGTGTCTAGGCGCGCCGTAAGCCCACTGGGAGTATTGAACACCTTAACCTTCGTTAAGATATCCAGGTAGAAGGAAGCTCTAATATAACACGTGCAATAGTTTCTGATTGGTTCTTTTTGGCTACTGTAGTTACACGAGGTTCTATTCCTTTGACGCCGCTCCTACAACATCGAATGCGCCTTCTCAAAGACATCGTTCTCGAATTCACGTACACGTCACCAACGTAAAAATCGCTTTATTTATTACTGAAAATACATTAATTGTAGCAAAATGCCAAAGGGGGAATGAGGAAGGGATGTTCGCTGCTACCTATCCTAGTCCTAGTTAATCAAATTCACGACCCATTCATCCAATAAATTTTTTTCCATTTACCACAAGAACGCACCACTCACCACTCAATCCCGCATGCACCACAATACCACACATTCACAGGGACCCACAAAATATCATATGGTATCAAAATCTTGTGAAAGTTAATAATAAAACATAAAAATTTCATAAATCATGAAATGAAGTGGAGGGAATGAACCCCCAAAGCTAACAAAAATTGTAACAAAACAAATTAAAACAAAACAGATGTTAGTAGGACCCGACCACCCCTCAAAATAATAAGTTTAATGTATTCTGTCAATAGGCAGAATCAAGTGGCACACTCACTAATGGAGTGGGAAGGGAAAAATAAATGACGAAATGGGAAAATTAAAGTCTGACCCAGACAAGATGAAAAAGGGGACAAAAACAATCTGGGGAGGTTGGGAACCTCGACATGGATCATAACAAAAGAGAAGGCCGGGAAAAGGCCACGAGTAACACTTATTCACATTAACTAGGAAAACAAGTAGTATCTAGCTTAACCAGTGTGAGGGATCACAGGAAACCGTTCTGTTGTGACGAAGAACAAAGGAATTCAATGTTAGCCCCTTTCACACGAACCAATCTCGCTACTTTCACCCACCTTTCACTTAAATCTGTTGACGTCAAACGCTTTCTATCAGTTCTGATCTTTACCTTCAGCTGATACTGAAATAATCTGATCAGGGCTTGATGAGAATAACGCTCATATCGGAAGATTCCCTCCGTCCGCGTTTCCATATCACCATTTTTGCCACGGTTTGCAGCGTTAGAAACACCACTCGTTTCATCCCAGTATACGGAGGCAATACATTATCGCACACGTATGCAAATACGGTGAGCAAAAGTTTATCTGGTTGTTTCTGGAAGTCCGGCCTCTCCAGTAAAGACAGATTGAACTTCAGTGTCCAGCCATTCTAGTCCTAGCATCTAGCACTATCCGAGTACAGACGAGTCTATGGTCCGAATAGCCTAACCAGTGGAACGTGGGACAATTTATTAAGTCTATATTGGCCCTTTTCACTAACATTCTAACCAGGTAGCTGGCTACCCAGGTAGATGGCCACTTGCATGCCCACGTACACATCTCCCGCTCAGGGTTATCGACCTGGTATCTATCGACGAGTCCAAACTTGCCAATCAGTTTAATTAATCAGATTCCCCGCCCCTATCAATCTTGAGGTCAAGGATAGAATTCCAGTCCCTCACTAAGACTAAGCGCAAAGAATCAACCATGAACGACCCTAACTGTCGAAACGACGAGTCACGCCCCCTCGGATCGTTTGGTGCATAAGCCGTAACGAATCGAAACTAACTATTGTTCACGGCAATATCGGCCACGATCAACCACCACCTCCGCATCGACAGGGACAAGATCCGCCTTCGCATCCAGGGTACGTTTAACCCGCAAGGAGACACCTCTGGCCAGATGGTCCCCGTATGCAGAATAGACAACAGCACAAGCATCAACTTTGCAAACAAAGTTTGTTTCCTGGATCGCAGCTACATCTACGCCGAAGGACAGGAGATCACGAAGAAAGCAGGTAGCCTTATCTGATCCCTCAAGTCCCTCACATTCAAAGTCGCTATCTTAAGAAACATTTTCTAAGTGGATTCCCCATAGTCACAGACTGGACGGAGATCTGCAGAAGTAAGGACCCCGACTGACTGTCCTGGGCTCTCTGTCTCCATCTCTGTCGTCATGCTTCCTCAGCGGTTCTTTGGCTTACTTAGACTCCTTCTTTGGGACATCCTGCTGGCGGGATGGGGGACAACTTTCTTCCTCCACTTCACCAATTGTTAATTCTTCAAGACCTTTAGGAAATTTGCATTTGTCTCTGCGATTTATTTGTTAGTTGTCGATTCCAGTTGCGGTTCCGGCCTCTTTCCCGGACACACTTTTGATAAATGACCGGAAGTCCATCAGGCTCAACAGAGGGGACGGCGACCTTCAACCACCACATAGACAGGACGTCCTTCGCATATTAACACATGCTACGAAGTTTTTTCGGGTAACCGTTACCATCACTTCCACATGCTCAGTGGCTATCCCAGCCTTACTTTTCACAGCAGAGACATTGGCAACCTCGTCAAATTTGGCAAAGAAAAAAACCCAAGTGGTCGAGCGAAATATACAGGGGCTCTCCATGCAACGTTACTTTCGTCTTCCTGTTCCCGACGTATTCGTATGGAGCCTCACAGACTTGGATGTTCCAAAATAAATAGCTTCCTCCATGATCTCCCTGTTGATGCCGATCAGTTTGCGCGACTTGACTCCACAGTCAACACGCATATAATTTTGATGTTTACCGACTCTAGAAGAGTTGGCACCAGTAGCAATTCATTCTCCTTCACAAAATTCTCGAATTGCTCCTAGAGACTTTTATAACATTCTGGTCCGTTTTTGGCTGGTTTATCTCCTGCCCACGCAGACGGGCTTGCTAGCGTGGATGCCGATTCTTGCAGTTGGGATTGTGCCATGGTGTTGGCGTTCCCACGACACCGTTGAACAAACAACAAATAAAACAAACGACAAACAGAAATTTACGTAAAGACACCAAAAGCGGATGTGAACAAAATTAAAAATTTCGAACGATCTTGCAATAAACTGACGTGAATTACCTCCAACGTAAAAATCATTACTCCCTTCTCACTTCTTCAGCAGTCTTTTATTATGCCAAGACCACAGCCAACTGACCAATTAGCGTTCTTCCCTTCGTCTTCAGTCACACAGTCAAATGGCATCCTCCTGTCAGACCAATCAGCACGCAAATTGCTATAAAAGCCATTGTTACATAATCATACGCTAAGAATAATATAAAGTCGGGGAGGATTCATGCCATTTTCAAATGAACGACACGTCACTGCTACGTGTCGTGTATTGAGGTAAGGAACTTATTTTCCCTTTCACCAGCTGCAAGCCACTCTGACTCGCTTATTGGTATATACTGATTTTTCTCACTAGCTGGGGTTAACCCAATGCAAAGCTTTGGTCTACTTTAAACAGTTCCTACACTGACATTGCTTGATATCGGTAGTTGCCATTTTGAGATGGTTGTAATCGATTATGACCATTTCGGATCGAAATATCCGTTCTTGTTCGTTAGGCAACGTCGAGTCAGGTCAGTACCTAGACCGTTTGCGGATACCAGGTGCTGCAAACTTAAATGTGCGGGAGTTCGAATTCCAGGCCTGTTCGTTATCGTCAACTCAAACAAACTCAAACAACTCTGGGAAAAGTATGAATCTACATCTTCTGCCTCACCAGCTATGGGTTAATTAGTAGAACAATGAATCATTATCATCTGCCGAAAAATTCTTATAATCTAAAAATATTTTCTGGCTTTGAATAATCTGCAGAGGGTTGATAGGTCGTAAAATAACAAATCAATCAATCAATTATGAGGTGGCAACTATCATATATATATATATATATATATATATATATATATATATATATATATATATATATATACATATATATATATATATATATATATATATGGATGTATATATATATGTATATATATATATATATATATATATATATATGTATATATATATATATATATATATATATATATATGTATATATATATATATATATATATATATATATATATATATATGTATATATATATATATATATATATATATATATATATATATATATATATATATATATATATATATATATATATGTGTGTGTGTGTGTGTGTGTGTGTGTGTGTGTGTGTGTGTGTGTGTGTTCAGTTTCTTAGCCGGTAAATGACACAGTGTTTCTTAACTCCAACTGACTTGATTTAAGATTTTCATTCAATCTCTAAATCAAAATGCAACATTGTGTAGCGTATGTCAAATGAAACGTTAAAGTCTACTGAGAATAAATCCTCGGATCTTCTTTCTTCTCGACCTACGCCACCATTACGTATTCATAATATTAAATCTTTCCTTCTCTCTCTCTCTCTCTCTCTCTCTCTCTCTCTCCCCTCCCTCAATACAATATCTGTATATTTTGAATTTAACCTGTAGTAATTTTTTCCGTTTTTATTTGGTTTGAAGGTCTGAAAAATTGAAAGCTATTTCTATAGCTTTCATGAAATAAATGTTATTACCTATGGTATTTTAAGATTTTGATATTTATTAATTAATTAATATATATATATATATATATATATATATATATATATATATATATATATATATATATATATATACGCGCATGTGTGTGTGTGTGCTTATTTGGTGATCAACCTTCCAATGGTAGATAAATACTGTATCAAGCGTACATTTTCATAAAAATGAGCGGCACTAGGATGATTTTTGCTTTTGCCAAGGAGATTAGTGTGAAATGAAAAGAAGCAGCCTCGGTGGACGATTCTACTTTCCATGTCGATAGACAAGGCGGCACTCATCTCTTTCAAATCTCCATAAATACTTAGTTTATTTTAGGGCAGGCGAAAATAAGGGAGAGCGATAAATCAAATTAAATGAGGAATTTTGCATTCCAAAGAAAAAAAAAATTACCTATCTTTATAATCCGGATTTAAATCCGTAATATTATCAATTTGTTTTTATTTTTATTTTATAATGTCATATCTCTTTAGTACATTGACAATCATGGTTCACCATACCATTCTTTTTTTATTATTTTTTTTTATATGCAAATTGGCATACATTCTGGTGGGAGATATTGGGGGTAGTTTCTCGTTCTTGCCCTATTTGGAATTCAGATTTTCCTTCTCTTTTTCTAATTGTCATCCAAGACTAAGATGCCCACTCTATAATGCTATTTAACCTCTAGCTCTATTTAAAATAAATTAACAGTTAAAAATTCTTACTCATCCATTTGACTGATTGCTTTTTACGGATTATTAACCTCAAGAGTTTAATATTAACCTCAACAGAAAATATTTTTCGTTTGAGAAGGTTTGGAATAAGAAAATATTTTTAGAAGTTGTTTTTAGAGATAAGGATTTACTGATGTAAGTGCTACTGATTAACCTATAGCTGGAGGGGAGAGAAGAGTCAGATTCATACTTTTCCCAAGGTTATTTGCACGTAAGTGAATATGACGAACCAAACTGGGATTGGAAATTCGTCTTTCTGAGATACATTTCTGAACTGTTATCTATTACACCACCCGCACACCCAAGCTTGCAACCTTTCTAACCGGTCACTCATCTAGTTATTGTACAAAGTCGACGTTGCTTAACTTCGTTGATCTTACGGGAAACAGTGTTATCTCAAATAGTTGGTAGGTAAAACGAAGCAGAAAGTCAAAATATATATATGAGTAAGCATGGAGATGTCTACTTATGGACAAAATATATAAGTTATATTCAAAATCTTTCACTTGTATTTTTTTTTAAAGATGGCTCTCTACAGATTCCGCCTTTTATAATCTGCGAATTGCCATGCATTCTTAGGAAAGATGGTGGTATGTTTTCCCGTTGTCTTCTCCCCGGCTTATAGTTCAGAATTTCTAATTATCTTTTTGCCATACAATGCTACAGAATCCAATCTATTTATTTAACCAATAGCTTTACATGAACTTTAAAAGCTAAACAGGTAGAAAATAAACTCAAAAAAGGTGGTAGGACTAAAACTAAAATCCCTAATACATATCAGTGTGCTTGTAGATAACTACTTAGGGAGAAGAATATACTGGACATATGCAGAAAAATAATATAATATAATATAATTTCAAAAGAGTGCCCAAAATTTAATAAAAAACAAACTTTGATTTAAAATTTATAATTTCAAAAGAGTGCCAAAAATTTAATAAAAAACAAACTTTGATTTGAAATTTATAATTTCAAAACAGTGCCAAAAATTTAATAAAAAAAAAAACAAACAAACTTTGATTTAAAATTTATAATTTCTTGGTGTGAATCAATATCTGGGATAAATAATTTTACATTATTTAGGGCGAATTAACACAAAAGATCCCATTTTTTTACACTCTTAATATATTTCGTTTGTATTCATTTTGTTCGTCGTAATGTTTTTGAGTAGATGCATATTTGTACGCAGTTGTATAGAGGGACAGAAGCAAGTGATTTCTGGTAATGCTTTCTCTAATGCAATGTATGACTGTATATTTAGGGATCGAGACGAAATTAATTTCTTATGGTTTGTATTTTAGGCTTTGCCTGCTATTTCCTACGAAAAGACGATCAGATAGAAAGAAGTGTGGCGCCCACCTTCCTGTACTGGTTTTTATTTTAGAAAACAGAGTGACAGGAAAAGTGAAAACGGATGTTATTTCAAAGGTTTCGTACAGAAAAAAAGAAAAAAAAAATACAACTGTAAAGGTAATATATTTTCCTTTCAGGAAAAAAAAAACAACATCGGCGGAGCAAGCGCTACTGCAAAGCAAAGGAACGTGCACCTGAATGAGAAAGGACTCGCACGCGTTCTCACATACGCATATTACTACACAAATAAACATATATCACCATCCATACCTGTTCGATACATGCATGCCATTTGCGTATCATTTCCATGAAAACAGGGTTTGACCAAATAGAAATATGCTGTCATTTCAAACATTATCGAAGGCTAAGTCATTTCAAAATTTATTAAATGTATATGTGTGCGTGCATTACTAAGCGTAGTTGAGAAGAGACGAAAGTTCGAAAACTTGGAGCACCCAGTGAGGACCGAATTCACAACTCAGTCATAATTGATCGAGCGGGAAAATTGACTAAATTATTAGTACAAGTATGTATTTATTCTGGCTCGTAACAGAATTGGGACAGAAGTTTGGAGGTTTTCGGCAAAACAGTAGAAAAAATTGCTCAAGCCACCTCGGTACTTCCACGCATAGAGAAAGCACAAGTAATCACTCAAACCCCAACCCGAAAGAGAGGTAATGCCTGGGTGGATGGTCTCCTCGGGTTTCAGTTAATATAATTTTTAATTCCCAAGTTTTGATTAAGCGTGGCAAAAGGCACTTGTAATTAATCTAACGGGGGCAACCTTCCTAACAATTACACCATGTACAAACACGCATATATATATATATATATATATATATATATATATATATATATATATATATATATATATATAGAGAGAGAGAGAGAGAGAGAGAGAGAGAGAGAGAGGCGGAGTAATGGATAGCGGCTTGGATTGAGGAATCGCAGAGCTGAGTTCGAATTTCAGTCGAATCCATTCATTACATTCACTTACGTGCTAATACCCTTCGGAAAGGTATG